GCCTCCATTGAATGAGCAAGGTTGAGCCCAGCAATGATAGCTTCATATTCTGACTCGTTGTTTGAAGCCTTAAACCCAAACCTGAGAGCGTATTCTACATCTATTCCATCTGGAGAGGTCAGGATCAATCCTACGCCGCTTCCTTGGGCATTGACAGCTCCGTCTACCGGAAATTTCTATACGGGAAGGTCAGGTATTAGCAGTGTGACTTCCGCGGGTGTTACAGCGGTGAATTCTGCGATGAAATCTGCCAGGATTTGCCCTTTGATTGCAATTCTCGGCTTATACCTAATATTGAATTCGCTAAGCTCAATTGCTCACTTAACTAGCCTTCCTGAGGACTCTAGTTTATGCAGCACTTGTTTTATTGGCTGATCTGTTAGAACCTCGATAGTATGAGCCTGAAAATATGGTCTAAGTCTCCTAGCCGTAGTAACCAGGGCCAAAACTAGTTTTTCCATCTTTGGATATCTCTCCTCTGTCCCCCTCAGAGCTCTGCTACAATAGTAAACTGGTTGCTGAGCTCTGTCTCGCGCCCTAGCTAGTGCTGCGCTGGTTGAAAAGTCTAAGACAACTAAATAAAGAGTAAGCACTTCCCCTTTTAAGGGGCTTACCAAGACAAGGGGAGAGCTTAGGTACTCCTCCGGTGCTTTGAACGCTTCCTCACACCGGGCGTCCCACTGAAAAGCCTTTTTCAAGACCCGAAAGAAAGGTTGACACTTGTCACTTGATTTGGATACAAAACGACTCAAGGCGGCTATCCTTCCTGTCAGGCATTGGATCTCCCTGATGTTAAACAGTGGTCGCATATCCAGAACTGCCTTAACTTTTTCTAGGTTAGCCTCGATTCCTCTGCTATTGATTATGAATCTCAGAAACCTCCTTGCTGATACCCCAAAGGCGCACTATGCAGGGTTAAGTTTCATCTTGTACTCCTTAAGAATTTGGAACGATTCTGCTAGGTGCTCTATGTGCAGCTCTGCCTTCAGTGATTTTACCAGCATGTCATCGATATAGACCTCTATAGATGTCCCAATTTGCTTCTGAAACATTCTATTCACTAGGCGCTGATAGGTGGCTCTAGCATTCTTCAATCTAAAAGGCATGACCTGGTAGTAGTAAGTTCCCAGTTCAGTCACAAATGATGTCTTCTCCTGGTCCGCTGGGTCCATCCTGATCTGATTATAACCTGAGAAAGCATCCATGAAGCTGAGGAGCTCATGCCCAGCAGTTACATCCACGATCAAGTCGATTCGACGTATGAGAAAACTATCCTTGGGGCATGCTCGATTGAGATCAGTGAAATCAATGCAGAGCCGCCATTTCCCATTGGTCTTCTTGACTAGCACCACATTCGCCAACAAGGTAGGATAGTCCATTTCTCTGATGGCTTTGGCGTGGAGGGAGTTTACTGACCTCCTCGTTAATTGCCTTCTGGCGTTCTAGAGCAAAACTTCTCCGCTTCTATTTAACAGGTTTGCAAATGGGATTCACGCTTAGCTTGTGTGTGATGATTGAGGGGTCAATGCCTTCCATGTCCTCTTGCTTCCAAGCAAACACCCCCATGTTCTTCCTCAGGAACTGGGTGAGCAAGTATTTCATTTCTCTGCTCAACTTAGATCCCATGAATACAATATGTTCAAGCTCTTCATCGAGTTGGACTAGCTCTAGTTCTTCTAACAGCATAGGCCTAGTGTCCAACTCGTCTCTCATGTCAAGCTCATCTAGTTGGATATTTTTAACCTCTTTCTACTTCACCGAGGCCATGTAGCATTCCCTGGCTATTCGCTGGTCTCCTCGGACCATTCTAACTCCATTTTCTGTAGAAAATTTTACGACCAAGTGATATACTGAGGGGATAGCCTTCATTGCGTTTAGGGATGGTCTCCCAAGTAGCATATTGTACCCAGAAGGGGCGTCAACCACCAGGAGTTTCACAGTGGTGGTGACTTGGCAAAGAGGGTGCCCCATAGTGAGCACGAGTTGGATGGATCCCAAGGGTAGCACCCTCTCCCCTGAGAAGCCCATTAAGTGAGCACTTACTGGCTCAAGCTTCTCCCTTCCTATACCCAGTTTGTCAAAGGCAGAGGTAAAAATGATGTCGACTGAGCTCCCATTGTCAATTAGAACTCGATGAACCGTTTGGTTAGCCACAATGGCCCTTATCACCAACAGGTCATTATGGGAATGCTGACAGCCTTCCAAGTTTGAATCCAAAAAAGTGATGATTGCGCTCAGCCGAGGTATTTTGGACACAGTGTGCACTTCCAGCGCTCCGCCAGCTCTGATCCTACGCAAGTGTGCTTTCCTGACTACACTAGATTCTCCACCGCCAGCAAATCCTCCAAATATCACTCTGATCTCCCCTAAGGGTTGCTGGTGCTGTGTAGGGGCTTGTTGCTGAGATGCCGGTGGTGGTGGAGCCCTGTTCTGGTTGTCATGGGCGACAAATCGTCGTCACTGCCCCCTCTGGATCAAGAACTCAATCTCCTTCTTTAGCTGAATGCAATCGTCGGTGTGATGGCCATGATCCCTATGATACTCGCAATACTTCGTAGGGTCTCTTTTAGTTGGATCTGCCTTCATTCGTGGAGACCACCTTAGGAATTTCTCGTTTTGCACCTCGTATAGGATCTGGGATACTGTTGCAGTGAGAGGGATGTATTGCTGAGGGGCATACCTCGGCTATAGTTCAGGCTGCGAGGGTCCTAAGCGGTCCCTAACGTTCCCCTTTCTTTTTGGGGATCGCTCTTTATCTCTTCTGGGAGATCTATCTCTCCTTGGAGATCTGTTTCTTTCCCTCTCTCTCCTGGGACTTCGGTTCCTCTTTTTCTCTTCCTTTCCCTTATCTCTATGTGCGGAAGAGCTCCCTACCTTAGAAAGAAGAGCTTCTTCGCCGTTTATATTTTTCTCTGCTTTGGCAAGCACCTCGGCTATACTTGCTTGGGGATTTTTTGATATGGACAACATCAAATCTTTAGATTGCACCCCTAGACTAGCTATGAAGGCAGTGATGGCGAACTTTTCGTCTGGGACATCCACCTTTAACGACTTTGAATTAAATCTTTGGACATAAGACCTGAGGTTTTCTTGAGGTCCCAGTTTTACATTCAAAAGATGATAGCTCGGCTTTCTATAGGTCCGAGCCCCTATGAAGTGAGATACAAAGGAAATGGAAAGTTCTTTGAAGGATGAGATTGAGGCCGAGGGGCGCCTGTTAAACCACGCCAAAGCTGAACCCTTCATAGTAATGGCAAAAGCTCGACAGCGTACGGGGTCCTGATACCCATGCAACTCTATTTGGTTCTTATAAGTATTGAGGTGGTCCATGGTTCCATCAAAGGACTCTATCTGTGACATCCTGAACTTTGGTGGGAGGGAAAAATGCAACACCCCAAGTGTGAATGAAGATTCAGTCTGCTGCACCAAGGCATCTATTGTAACCGAAGCTTTACTTCAGACCGCTTCCTTCATGTGGCTGAGCTCTTGTTGGATGCCCTTGAAACGTTGCTCCCAATATTGTTCCCTTCTTTCCTGCTGATAAGGGAAGACATTATTCTTTTCACCTTCATGATTTTGACTTTGTACTTCCTCATTATGGCCATTCCTAGGGGGTAGTTGGGAACCTGTCCGAAGGTCTGGCTGTTCTCCCCTCCTTCGTTGTCTTCTCTGAGTGGATCAAGGTGTTGTTGATCCCTGTGACGGGGACTGTTCTAACCTTCTTGGGCCGGACATGCCTCCTGTGGGCGCTGTAAGAGCTTCAAGAGCTCTTTGTTTTGCTTTATCAAACACTGATTGACGAGGCGAAGGGCCTCCATCTCGTTATTTGTAAGGGAATGTCTCATGGGAGGATCAGTTTCTGGGACGTTCTCGGACTGTCTTCCATTGGTGGCTCTCTGTTGGTCTTACATCTGAGATGGGTTTGTTTGGTTTCTGCTCATATTTCGTGTTGATACCATCGGTCACTGAAAGATCAACTTATTTGTAACAAGAATAGTCGTTCCCATAGACGGCGCCAAACTGATGGAGCAAACTAACGTGGGTAAACAGAATGCGTGGGACCAAAGGAGAATCTAGGCTACCAATCTTATGATGACAGTGATGAAGTGTTTCTTAGGGGGTTGAGGAATTTGCATAGTAGGAGTACAATGGTTCATCGACTCTAGAGCTCGGCTAATCCACTCTCTAATAGAGGTTCTTGCTTCTTTTTTCTCTATTGATCACTCAAAAATGTATTTCAATACAATGTATGGTTTGATTAGGGTTTTTCTCTGGTCCCCCTTCTCAATGAGGCGTTACATAGTATTTATAAGGCTGCCTCCTATTCTGTGGGATTTCAGCCGAGATCTTTGCCCATTATTCGTGGGATCCTCCTTAATTTTAGGAGAGAATCTTAGTTGGTTGAGAGTTTCATGCATTGGGCCCAATTTTCGCAGTCATCCAGTTGTTTCTTGGTCAGTTTTGCTACGATCTTCCCAAGGGGAGCTCTACCCCTGGTTCTCTGAGTTTCTCGTGTCTTTCCTGACCTCTTAACCTGACCTCACAGCTAGGGCTTGTTTGAGGCATCATCAATTACCATGCATGTTTACACATAATTTCTGGCGCACAATCGTCATAGAATAATCTTAATAACTGGATACCAATTTCCTTGCTTACCTATACTTCGAAGTTTAAACGAAGTCTATATACTTATTATTCACTAACCATCACCCATTATACATCTGCAATCAAAGATTAAATTTTGAAAGACTTGTACAAGCCTTCAGAATTTCACCTGATCTTGAATGTCATGTTGCAAGGAGAATAACACTTTGCATCACGTTACTGCCTCAACATTGAGGCTGATGCATCAAATCACTGGAGGTGCCAAAGTGTTCCGCATATTAAGGTGGGGAACCAGCGTGCCAAAGCCATACATGTGCTCCCCATCCCCCATCCCCTTTAACCCTTCTTCTTTATTTCTTTGTCTCTCTCACAGTCACAGTGCATATGATATTCAATTAATTTACTTTGAATTTTTTTGCTCGACTCTTTTTCCAAATGTCCTCATAAAAGGATCTAAAGAAAATGTAGTAAAAATATAACAATAGAACACTCCTTGAACTTAGAGAAGCAAAAAAATATATCTTACCATCTTCTCTGACAATACCATCATGTCCATCTGAGGAATATGGATCTAAAGCGACATCAGTGTATATAACCTATAGAAAAACTCATCAGAAAAGTAAAGATATTCCAAACTGCTTGTAAAAAAGCACCCCATCCTGGAAAGCCCATAACCCTTCCAATTGAAACAAACTACTAACAAAGTATCTTAACTTACAAGATCAGGGTACTTGTCTTTAAGCAACCGAATTGCTCGAGGCACCAATCCATTTTCATTGTATGCTTCATCTCCTGAGGGAGACTAAAGGGAAAAGGACCAATTACATCACATCAATACTAGGAACTGAACAGAACTTTAGATGACTTATAAAAACCTTTAAAGCATCTGGAACTTTTGGGAAGAGCACGACACTGTTAACACCAACATCCCTGGCCTTTGACACCTGCATCAGATAATGCTAACTAAAAAACTATTCTGACATCATTGGATGAACTACTTCACCAAATGCAAGTAAATCTTGAAGTTCATATTTTGCCAGTCAAAGCAAAAACCACTAAATTGAGTTGGTGAACTTACAATAGTGGAGCATCTAATAAACATGCTATGATGACTTATGAAGTATAAAGTCAGCTCATGGTATATGGGATTCCAGACCTTCATGTCAGATTATGAAGAAACCATGCATTTATTGCAAAACAATATTTTTAATGGTGCCAAGTTATTGATGACAACCGAGCACCTATAAGCTCATAACATTGCCATGTATTCAGGAAACGTGCTTGAGAAGCGTTGCTTAAATTGTGGGATTTTTTTTTTTATTTTTCTGACCAAGTCAGGATCTGAGATATCAATGGAACTTAATGCAATATTGCCAAATAAACAAAATATTAGCAAGAGCTTACAGACCTCTTCCACAAGTCCATGTCTCCATCCAAGCCTATAACATCCAGGCATAGCTCCAATAGGTGTGTCCTCTTCACCTGCAAATCTTGTAAGATGAGACATATTTATCAACCCAGAATAAGATAGGGGGGAGAGAGAGAGAAAGATGCCTCCATAGATGCCAACCTTCATGAATAAAAAGTGGGTAAACAAAGTTAGCAGGTGCTAACGTCGTTTCTTGGAAGGCTGCTCTCATCGCCAATGATTTACGATTGCGTCGAGGGCGCCGATTGAGTGGCTGAAAAAATCACATCAATAAGATCAAGATTGCTTACTGCAACCAAATACAATGTATGATGCTGAAGGAAATGACCTAACATCTTCAAAATTTTTCATCATCATAAATTCACCATTAACAAACAATATTGAGACACCATCACAATGTCCAGCACTAATTTCACAAAAGGGCACTCAAGACATATAAATGTAAATATTTGTGGTTTGTGTGTCATTTCAAGTTTTTGTAATACCAATTACAGCTAAGACTCCCCATTACCAATAACTATACGTGAAGTAGTTTGCTAAAAATCACATTTCGAATGATAACACACCTAAAAAATGCTAAATAACAATGATGCTCAAGAATATGTCCTAAAAACTCCCATACATCATAACAAACTCCATATGAACTCAATAAAGTTCCAGTTGCCATTGATTTTGGCATTGCTACTATTTTTTTATGGCTAAATGAGGTGTCTGCCGCTCTTGGTGTAGTGAGCACTCAAGACCCAAGAAGCAATAATTAACAATAATATTCCAAAAAGGTCAATACACCAATGCAGCTTAAAATATCATCATGAACAAATGCTAAGACTGGATAGAAAAATGTAAATGAATCATAGTTTATTCAGAACTTACAAGTGAAGGCACGACAGGAGTCCCAATGGGTGCAGCTGGTTTCGGGGGCACCGGAGGTGCTTCCGGTGGATTTCCGGCCACCACGGCAGCTTCGCAATCCTCATCACTCATCCCCATCTTTTTCATTGGTCCATCACGCGTTTCACTGGCCCTCACTACATACAAACGCCTTCTAGGTGCCTTAACTACGGGTCGAACAGATACGAAATTCTGATTCACCGACGGTATCAAACCTAAATTCTGAATTGCCCCAACATTACAAGACCCACATGGGATTGTTGAAGCCATGGCGACAGGGCACTCTCAAGTATACAAGGTCTGTATATAAAATAAAAATAAACCAGCTGAAAGTTATAGATTTGGAGAAAATTAAGGTCATATAATTCATGGGTTATCAGCACAAGTATTTAGACTATCCGATTCGTTTCAATAAAGGGTGAAATGCAAGAAATGTAAAAGATTTAAAATCACGTGTCCAAGGAGAGTACAGTTTTCTGGAGAAAATTGAGGAAAGTTCATGGGAAATCTTACCGGGTGTGAAGAAGCTGTTGGGCTGACAGGACAGTCTGAAGAATACAAGGTCTGCATATAAAAGAACATTTACCAGCTGAATGTTGCATGATTGAAGAAATTAAAGGTCGTACAATTCATGGATTATTAGCAGACCATCGAATTCAATTCAATGAAGGGTCAAAAGCAAGAAATGTGAGATCTTTCAATTCAAATGACTAACAAAACCCTGATTTTCTCGAGAAAATGGAGGGAAAGTTTACTGGAAAGCTTACCTGGATGCGAAGAAGCTATTGGTTTGAAAGAGACAGGAGGTGTCGAGCTTATCTGAAGAATATGAGAGAAGCCAATGGGAGAGGGGGTGCACTGAACCTCCGCTGTTGGCGTAGATAAGTGGGACGACGTAGTTTTTGTCAAAATTTGCTGTCCAACAAAGAAGACAGCAACGATGTCGTTCAAATAGTTGGCTTCGAATTCAAACGGCTTCGTCTGCTTCCCCTGATTTATCGGTTCACATAGTTCAATTTTTTTTTTTAATTTCCTATTATAATCTTGACATAATCTTGCGACTATCATCGTTCGTCTACTATTTTTTTGTCACTATCTTTAATTGTTTGATATATGGCTAATAATCTTGCAACTATCATTGTTTTTCTACTACTTTTATGTGATTATCTTTGATTATTTGATATATGACTATTGGTGTTTTAGCCTTTGGTGAAACCGAGTTTTATGGGCATTGGTACGATAGATTTTGGTGCAGACAGAGTTATGTGGGCATTGACAGAAGATTTTGTGGAACTAAGTTATGTGGGCAGTGGTATCTAAAGTTATACGGCCATTGGTGACGAGTTCAGATTTAGATTAGGGTTGGGCTCAATTCATGGGTTGAGCCCAAACCATCAAAAAGTAGATTAGACGTAGTTTATGACCTCAATCTAATCAAAATTCAAGAGTCTAAGAAGAGTCAACGCACTTAGGAGAACAATTATCAGAATATCCATAATTCCAAGATAGTGTCTATCTCCAATTGTAACTATCATCTCCAGTAAACTGGCACCTTGCCCTGCATGCCACTGTCTCAACTAGGACTCAGTGTCTATAAATTATAAGTCCCTAACACATAGGGACATGAGATCACACACACCTCACCTTGAGCGTAATCATTAATAGAGTTCTCTGACCACCATTGTCGCTTTCAGTTATTAGGTCACCCAGATTCAATTACCCAATTTTTGTCTCTTATTATTAACTACTTTATTAATTATTTTATTCCATACACTCAACTGATTTGATTGTGCATAAATTCATTTTTGTGCGTCATCAATTGGTACATAAGGTTTTCTTGTTGACAAGAAACATAAAAAAAAATATGTATTTATTTGTTTTGTTTGCAATTGGAAATTTATAGGGGCATTTGTTGGTCTTTATGTTTAATTTGTATAACCATTTTTTCATTGTAGGGGACATAATCTACAGTAGAGATAGAATGTGTCGAGAATGATAAAGCAGAGAATACTCTAGGTATTGGAATGCAATTAGACTGGGAAAAATATACTTATAGGTTATATAATAATTATGGCAGAACTGTGGGGATTCAGCGTGAAAAAAGATTATCACATCAAAAGCTTGAATGATGGTGTATTAATTTATAAAAAATATGTATGTTGTAAACATGGACAAATGACAAGAGATCAAAGAGATTAGAAAACAACAAAGCCTCGAACAGACACACCAACAAATTGCCCCGCTTACATGTATATATCCCTTAAGAAAGACATCGGGAAATTTGTTATAGTCAAATGGGAAGCCTAACACACTCACATTTTGTATCTTGCCAAATGTATGCATATGATGTCATCCCAATGAAATGTTACTGTAGCTCAAGGCATCAATGTTGATATGGCTGCAGATTGTGAGATATCACTTAAAACGTCCTATGAGCTTATGAGTACACAAGCGGGTGGAAGAGAAAAATTAGGTTTCACTCCTGTAGACCACAAAAATTACATTTGAGAAAGGATACAACAAGACTTGAAATGCAGTGAAGCGGATAATTTGTTGTAATATGTTCAAGCAGAAACAGTTAAGAATCCATCATTTTATTATGGAGTCCAATTAGATGTCAAAGAGCGCATCACAAATATGTTTTGGTTGACTTAGGGATAATTATCAATTATGGCGACTTTGGAAATGTTGTCACATTTGACACAATATTCCGAACAAACAACGAGTAACGACCTTTAGGCATTTTGATTAGATCAATCATTTCAGGGAGATAGTGATATTTGGTGCTACATTGTTGTACAATGAAACGACAATATCATTTCAATAGCTATTTGAGATATTCTTATAGGCAATGTCTAGGTAGAAGCTTATTACCATTTTCATTGACCAAGATCAAACAATAACTATGACTATATTTATAGTGATGTCGGAGACATATCACAAGTTATGATGTTGGTACCTTTCTTGAAATATTTTAAAGTATTTAGGAAATATATATAAGGATGGTTCAAAATTTACAGCACAGTTTAAAGAATGCATATATAGATACGAGGACAAACATGAGTTAGTTGATGTTTGAAAATTGTTGCTTAGTGAGGATAATTACAAGATAATATTTGGATGAATTCAACTTGGGCCTTGAGAGAAAAATGGGCACATGTATATATGAAATGGACTTTTACAGCTGGTATGAGGAGCACTCAACTAAGTGAGAGTTTGAACTTGTTGTTTGTGGTTTTCCAAATATAGTAAAATTACTAATTGAAATATCTGATTTTTGTCATGCAACTTAGAATAAAATAGTAACAGTCAAGAACAAAAAAGTTACAAGTAAAAGCGAAATAATTACATGTAAGAATGAAACAATAACACGTAAATATGTAATTAACCCAAAGTATAAACTGACTTGTTTGCAGATCAGGAATTGTTATTGAACTTTCTGCATATCAAAGCTAATGTTTGACACAATGCTCTTAAGATCGATTTCGCCCCCAGACTTAGTGCTTATGGAAATCAAAGCATCTGCCTCCAAGATACAATGATTTTCACGCAAATAGAAGTAGTACTCTAATCTAATCGTCCATCGAACCGAAACTGTATTGTCTACTCTATGAATACAGACTGCTAATGCCAAAATATGATGTATGAGACTGCTTTAATATCTATGAAAATTAGATGATCAGAATTGTAATGAGCCTGAGTTTATATAGACAAACTAGTGACTGTTCCAAACAATCATTATGTGAACAAACTCAACCCAAAAGACGCATGCAACCTAGAAGACACCATGAAAGTTTGCCCATTAGGAACATACATGAATTCAAAATTTCATACTGGAGGGAAGATTACATCCAAACAGGTGCTAAATTTGAATTCTAACAGGCACCGAAAATTAAATTTTGCATTAAAAAATTCATGCCCAATTCATTAAATGAATTTTCTCCAAAAAGAAAAGGATTTGTTTAACTCACACTCGTACCCGACCCGGCCCTACCAGGGTCGCAGAGAGGTGACGCGGGCAAGCGGCGTGCTTGTGTGGTCGAACTGATGACATATAAGTGCTCGCTCTGCTCATGAAAGTGTGATACTCCTTAAGATCCAACCCATGGAGCAAACATGGGATAGAAATGTCCATGTTGAATTTCTTGTCCAACTAATGTGGGATTGGTATCAAATCTCACATTTCATAACCTCTATTTTCACATTCCAAGAGGGTCCCTTTAGAGCGCTTACAATACTTTGGTTATCACACACACGCGCCGCTTGCTTGCGTCGCCTCGACCATGACTTGACCAAGCTTGGGTCAAAAAGATATAATCTTTTTAGACAATTTTTTTTTTGGCTTAGTGCGAGTTATGGGTCAACCTAATAGGATCCGAATGTGGATTATAATTAAATTTTTAATTGAATTTTTAAATTTTTTGCTCATTAGTTTGAATTTGCCGTTGAATTAGGTCTAGTTCATTCAATAGTGTCTATTCACTCTAGAGGTGTTTTTTGTCTGCTCAGATTAAAAGAATGTCTCTTCAATCTGAACAACCAACAAGACTCTATAAATAGACTGCCTTCAAGCCATTTTCATCAATCCCAATTCTGAATTCAGTATTTAAAGTTTCTTCTCTTTCTCTCTTAACCTATTGTTGCTGCTTCAACTTTAATTATGTAAATCTAAGCGCAGGTTGAGCGAAATAATATATATATCGAAAGACCGAGATCGGACCTTTAGGGAATTGTGAAACAGTAGCAATCACACTAATACTATAACAATCTTGTAAAGATTATTTGTTTAAAAGAATATTGAATTGAGAATGTTAATTAAAGTAATTAAAATAATATGAAAAATACTAGAGCGTTAGATAATCCCTCTCAAATACATACAATAATGATTAAAAACTTAATTCTTACCCCTAGACAAAAATCAAATATCGGTTGATTTAAGTCACCAAATTTAGTAATAATACTACAAGAACACATTTGTTTATAATCAAAAGATTATTTAGGAACCCAAATAATTATCTAATTATATTATTTTGTAAAATAATTATAATCAACTTAAGCATGAAATAACCAGTTATGACTCGCAAGAAAATTCAAGCAATCAATGTACATAGCACAATGACTCAAGGATTTTTACAGAGTAAAAACTTTGCTAAGAAATCAAAAGTTGAATTAACAAAATATCACATACCATTAAGCTCATAAGTCAATAACATTACCATATTTCATTGAGAGATCCTCCTCTTGCCTTAGCTAAACCTTTTAACCGGACATAACAAACTAAAATCAAAATAAAAAGATGGGAAAAGAATAATAATAACCTCTTCCTAGATGAGAACCCTTATTTATACTAAAATAAATCCTAAGTATAGATAGAAGATTTAATGTTGGATTGAAATGAATTCATTTCCAAAAAAAAGTCTTGTAAGGTCAAATTCCGTGCATAAAATCTTTGGAGCGCGGGTAAAACATTTGTCTAAACTTTGAACTTGAATTTCACATATTTAAATGCTAATTCATTAAATTTTTTATGAAATATACTTTTGTAGCCCTTGAAATTTTATTTCCAACCCCGCAAAAATCAAATCAATCAGATATCAGAGTCAAAAGTTAAGACCAAAATACTAAAGATATGTCAAATCTTTATCTTCTAGGATACTTTCATAATTTAACTTTAAATGAGTTTTCTTTTAACTTGAACTCTTATAAGGATTAAAATTGTTGATATATCTTCATTTCTTCTTATCTCAATCCTTATCAATTGAGATTCTTCCTCTAGTGATTGTTTCACTTGTCTTATCTATTATTACTTTAAATCAACCAATTTATTTGTAAAATAAACCAAACAACTAGAAAAAAGTATCAAACTAGAAAATCAAGAAATTTAACACATTTAATCACAAATAATATGTAATTAACCAATTATTAAATATAATAAAATAGTCATTTTGATGATTAATCAACATGAATATTACTAGTCCCTAGTAATACATGAATTCTAAAATCTAAAAACTAAAAACTAAATAACATAATAAAATAAAACACAAATCCATTTTTGTAGGACTCACGAC